CACACCATTGTAAAGTAATTCTACTCCAATAAAGCTGTTAAAAAAAAATGTAAACACATCACCTTGGAGAAAGAGGCATTAAGGTATTATCAGCCATCACCTTATTAGGGCTTAGCTCCAGGCAGCTAGAGTCCTAAGGATGAGCAGTTGCTGGGAAGAAAAGGATGGAAGCAGGCATTTTAAATCAAATGCCTATAGGAGCCAGGCAAAAGCATATATTAATAAAGAGATCTGGGTAGGAGCTGTGAAAAAATGGAGAGCTGCTTCTCAACTCCAGCTATCTGCTGCCTTGTAGGAATGTACATCCTGGGTTATCCCATTTTCAGACTTTTCAAAGCAATGTAAAAAAGCCATAAAGACTCTAATATTTAAACACTGAATCAAAATTTTTTACAACAGTCTACAAGTCAAATATACCTCCACACTAGATACACGTGCAGGACACTGAGTTTGAGATCTCTGATGTGGGGCACTATACTGCCAAGGAATATAATAGAAACATGAGGGGAGCTGGTAAATAGAAGGAAGGGTGCAAAGAAACAGAGCAGAGTGGGCTACATCAGTGTCTGAGGTTGGCTCTGTTGAGGGAATTCAGAAGAGCAAGCAAACTTGGAGGCAGGAAGAGATTAAGACAGTGAGTCTAAACCTTTTGGGGAATCATGGGTAGCACAGGAAATTCTGATAAATGCTTTAGAGACTTTTCCCTGGAAAAATAAACGTATGTAGTAGGCAGAATAATGTGGCCCACGAAGATGTCTATGTGCTCATTCCTTGTCCCCCTCCCCTTGTTACCTTACATGACAAAAGGGATTCTGCTGATGTGATGAAGCTAAGGACCTTAAGATGGAGAGATTATAGTGGGCTGAGTGGACCCAATCTAATCACTTGAATCCTTAAAATCAGAACAATTTTCCTGCCCTTGGTTGTAAGAAAAGAACAAACCTGACCCCATATTGAATCTGTTCCTTTAGCTCTAACCCTGTGCTCTGTTGGCTGTGCTTAGTCATGTTGGCTCTGCACTTTTGTAAAAATAAAAAAATGTTGCCCAGAGCCTGAAATATTCATGGTAGCTCATTCTCAAGGCTCTGACCTTTAAAGGTTTAACATTTTTCTATTCATACAGAGATTACAAGTTGCAGAACAGAGAATAACCTTTGTCTTGTTGGAGGTTCATGGGAACACTGTGATCAGACCTACGTGGACAGCTGCAAGAGCAAAGGATTCTGGCACCAAGAAGTGTGCAACAACCAGCCACATCTTCTCCCCTTTTAGTACAAAAGAAGCCTGAATTCTAACTCAAGGAAGATGGCTCTTTGGGACAAGAGTCCACCTTCTTCTCAGTCTGCTGGCTTTCGGAATAAAGTCACTCTTCCTTGCCCCAAAACCTCATTCTCGATTTACTGGCCTCTCATGAGACCAGCAGTAGGAGCTTGGACTCGGTAATATGGTCAGAAGAAAACATATGGAAGAATGCTAAGAGAGATGCAACGTTGCTAGCTTTGAAAATGGAGGAAAAGACCATAAGCCAAGCAATGTACGCAGCACCGGGAAACTGGAAAAGACAAGGAAATATATCCATTCTCCCCTCGAACCTCCAGGAAGGAATGTAGGCCTGCTGACACCTTTATTTTACCCCAGAGAGATCCATGTTGGTCATCTATCCTACAGAAGTATAAGATTATAAATTTGTGTTGTTTTAAGTCACAGGTTTGTGGTCATTTGTTACAGTAGCAACAGAAAACCAATATAGTATACAGACACTCAAACTTTGGAAAAAATATTCACAGACCTCCCTAAAGCGCATTCAGACACACAGATAAATGTCCCGTGCCCTAGGAAGGGCTCAACAACACGCTCTCTGAGCTGAAGGTATGAAACTATTTCTCTTTGGCACGCGTGAGAAGATCAATACCACCCCACGACACAAGCAGCTCCAAAACCTCACTTCTACAAGGATGGATTCATTCTCTGAACACTAACTACCCTTTTGAGTCCCACCCAAACCACATGTGACCCCTTGACAGCTCCTTGCTGTAGAAAGATCTTTCCTTCCTTTCTCAAAGTGCTCATTATGATAAGAACATGCTCCTCCCCAGCCCTCCTCCCCAAGAAGGTGGCATTTTACACCTGCTAAGATTTAGCCTGGCTTCTTCCCTCACTTTGAGCCAGACTTAGGTCTGGAGTGCTCTATCACAGTCCTCATGTCTCTATCGAGATCTTATTGGACACAATATGCCTGCACCTGGCCATTTGCTGGTTTTAAAATGGAAGAGCAATGTTATCAGGAATGTGAGCTACCTGACTCAAAGTTGTTTTTAGCCTCAGCTCTCATTTCACCAGTTCATCAAATTTCACAATCCCTGTAATATTTAGAGTTTTCTTTTTAAGTTCCATTAGAGTGATCCTAGGTGTCACGCCACCATGGCTGCGACAAAAAAAAAAAACAACTCTGTAGTTTAAAGGTTACCATCCTGATCTAATACTCAACCTAATATACCAGACGTAATGGCCTCACAACTCCTGATCTGCAACTTAACACCAGACGCTGTGACTGTCAACTCTGGTGCACAGGCAATTCTGGAATGCTGCTAGCTCAGAAAGCTAGATTCTGTCAAAGTAGAACATGGAGGCTAGAAAGGAAAAAGAAGAAGAGAACAACAAGGTATTTGGGGTCCTATGGAGGTTTGCTAAAGCATAGAGGAAGACAAGCCAGATCTGTTTTGGAGGAGACAAGCCTGACGCAATGAGGAAGGCTGCCCAGTGACCATGTATTTGGTTCCTTCTCCTGACATGCAGAAGAGGTCTAGGAACAGCCTAAAATGTTACACAAACTTTTGTGTGTATGTGTATCTCTTTTTTTCTGAGGAAAAGTGCCACAGATCTGAGAATCTGAATGAACTGTAACTCCCCACACCCAAGTGTAGGAGTTGCTGCTCTGTATGTTTCCTCATGAGGACTTTTCTAATTCAATACACTTAGCTCTCCCTAGTCATATGTGAATGATCCCCAGAGCAGAATCCTATTAAATTTCCGACTTGCCCTCTGATAACAGTAATATTACCACTTACCTTCTCCACTGCAGATGGGAAATAGAGTGGTTTTAAGTTTACCAAACATCGAGCGCCTTTGAGAAGGTAGATTGCTAATGTCATTTTCCCCTATCAGCCTCTGTGGAGTATCCAGCCCAAAGGGCACCATACATTTCATACGCAAGCATGAAGGATTTCGTCTTGTTTTTTGTGTGTGTTTTTTTCTGTCTTTTTTATGATTTTGAAATATGCATGGGAATATAGTTGGCCTTATTCTTGCTGAGAGATGCAGTCACCAGTCTGGTGGGGGAGAGAGGGTCACTGCCTAAATTGATTCTAATCAACCTAAAACAGCTTTGTTATAGTAAGACCTCCAATAGGAAGGTGAGTGTCCCGATTAGCAGAGAAATGACAGGGCTGAGTCTTACCCGATCTGAGGTCAAGTAAGAATAAACAGAAAAGAGATGGCAACCAGTGAGGAGGTGAGAAAAGGTGTTGAAGAATACAACTGGATAATGGATCATCTTACTTTTGGGGTCTCCATCAACCCTTTGGGGCTCTCTGATTCTAAATTTAGTACGTTGAATATTTTAAAGCACAATTTCACTATATATAAAATAGATAACTAATTAGGACCTACTGTATAGCACAGGGAACTCTTCTCAATACTCTATAATGTATATGGGAAAAGAAGCCAAAAAGGAGTGGATATATGTATATGTATATGTATAACTGGTTCACTCTGCTGTACAGCAGAAACTAACACATTTTAACTCAACTATACTGATAAAAATCTTTTAAAAAGCACAATTTCATAGCACAGCCAATCTTGTCTGTCGTTGTTGATTCATTTAGACTCTGCTGCCTTAGAAAAAATTTTGAAAAGTCATGCCCAGAAGCATAGCCCTCCCTTTCCACTGAGTGAGAGCTATGATTACACTGTACACAAGATCCTACAAAGACAGCTGACACAACCAGCAGTTGAATTCTTTCTTCTGTTTATTTCCAGAAGAGACTTTCCATAGACAGCTGCAAGGCCAGGCTCCCATCCGAATGCCATGCCAACCTTGCTCCTGACAGCCTCCCACCCACATTCTTGCCCTGACCCAGGGCCGTCTCTAGCAGGTCCGGGAGACCAGAGGGGTCAGCCCCAGGGCCACTTCAGGGCTTAGAGACACCACCTGGATCAGCACAGGAGCCACGGCTGCTATGCTGTAATCAGACATTTGTAGGTTCAAATTCTGGCTCAGGGGGCTTCCCTGGTGGCGCAGTGGTTGAGAGTCCGCCTGCCGATGCAGGGGACGCGGGTTCATGCCCCGGTCCGGGAAGATCCCACATGCCGCGGAGCAGCTGGGCCCGTGAGCCATGGCCGCTGAGCCTGCACGTCTGGAGCCTGTGCTCCGCAGCAGGAGAGGCCACAACAGTGAGAGGCCCGCGTACCGCAAAAAAAAAAAAAAAATTCTGGCTCAGCCTTATTTACCTGTACAATATCAGTCAAGTGCCTTGACGTCTCAGCTTCAGGCTCCTTCTCCATAAAATGGGGCTAGGAGTACCCGCTTTTCGGGGAAGGGGTGAGGGCTAAATGACAGAATATGCGAAAAGCAATTGGCATGACTTCTACACTGTCATCAGCAATTACCATTATCACAGAAGAAAACCCGGTCCCTCTCTAGCGTGGAATGAAAGAGGACAAAATGAAATCAGCGTTTCTCCCTCTCAGGGCAGGAGAGTCTCCGCTCCTCTCTGAGCCTTAAGGCTGATTATCTTCAAACTGCAGGCAGAGAAAGTAGGTTATTTACATTTCTCTTAGACTCAATGATTCTCCCCCTTTAAGGAGCTTCTCTGACTTCAAGGGATGCCAACGAAAGTCAGAAAGCCTTGCCTCTTGGGCAGGGGTAGCAAGCACAGGTGTTAGCGTTTCTGGGAAAGGAACCCAAGGCCCAGTGTAACTTCTGACAACAAAGGGCTCACCTTCGTTGAGCTCGCACGGTTTCTTGGCATCTGAAGGTGTGGTTTTGTGGACTCTCCTGAGCTGGCGTTCCTGTTCTCCCCCGACACTCTGACTGGCTGGGTACCACATGCTCTGTCTCCTGCAAGAAAAATGGGAACAGTAGATGAACTGTCAGCAGCCATCCGTTCCACAGCATCCTCCGGTGGGGTGTGGGTCACAGGGCAGGGCAGCAGCCATGCAACACACACGCTACCAAGGGCTGTGGGGAAGGGGGCCCATGAGTGAGCCGAAACTTAAAAAGCCTCTTTCTAACAGTCAGTTGCTGCAAGATTTCAGAATAAAGAAAAAATAATAACCTAAAATTTACATTTTATATTAAAAATATGAGAGAAGAGTATTTAATGAATAGATTGCAAATACAATTTCTAGAATATTTATAGCATAAGCTCATTTTTGCACAAACATGTACGAATGTACACACACACACACACACATACACACACACACAAATTGGCATCAAGTAAACCAAAATCTTAACAGTGACTAACACTTAAGATGTCATTTTTTTTTTCTTTTGGGTACTCATCTATATTTTTTTATACAATAATCATACATTATTCCTATAATAAGAAAGAACTTTAAGTTAATCTGAAAACCAAGGAACAAATCATTTTTATAAAATCCAAATCCCAAGTATGCTTGGTACTCTCTCTTCCCCTCCCCTCCCCACCCCACCCCCAAACACACGCACACACACTCTCCTACACCTGTCATTGGCTACACTGAATCCAAAGAAATCACTATGTTGGTCCCATTATCCCATGATAAACTCCACTCATTAATTTACAAAAACTCCAGAAGCTAATTCTAGAGAGTATCATAAACACACCAAAGCTAAAATGAATCTGTACTCAATACAAGGACACACAAACCCAAAATGAAAGATTTTTATATGTTCAGCAGTTGAACCACTACAGTATTTGAACAATGCCAAAGCTCTGACAAATTTTCCGTAGGAAAAAACAGCCCCTCTGTACCTGATAAATGAAATACTAAAACCAAATTCAGTGAGCAACTCAGAAAATCCAGATGGCTACTGTCAGGCAGTCAAAATATTCATGTGATACAGTGAACTTGGGTCTGACGGTGCAGTATACTGTTGTGACAATACAGACCAAGCTCCTCTCTTAGGGGTATGGGTTGAAGTCAGTACAAGTGACTTCAGGTATCTCAATATGTCAGAAAACATTTTTCTAAAATATTGTACTAGAATAATTTGGTGGGGCTATTTGCCAAGTAGCCATCACAAGCTTCTAGAGCAAAATCATAGGAATGCCTTCCTATTAGAGGGGTAAAATGGAAAGTGGGAGCAGAGCTGAGGAAAAGGAATGAATTAGAACTACCAAGATCCTTTCTTTAATTTTTCTAAGCCTCCAGCTTCAGGCAAGAAGACACACCACATGAAAGGGTTCCATTAGTATCCAATACTTCCCTAGACATAGTAGTTGCTTGTGAAAAATTCTACAGCTATTCAAATACTTGCCAAGTTTCCCCAAACAATGGTTTTCAAGTGAGACAGCACTGCTTGCAAGTATACTAGGTATGTGACCTTAGGCAAATCACATCCATTATCTGGACCTCAGTTTCCTTGTCTGTAAAATGGAGATAATACTCCAAGTTCACAAGGTTGTTGAACAAGATGCTCTTTTACTACTTACCAACTGGAGGCACACAGTGGATGGGAGCTACTGATGATGATAATAGTCCTTTTACAAAAATTCCCTCAAAGCTCAGTATTCTGAAACTGGTGTTAAGGAAATCCTTGGAGACTTAACCCAAGTGAGTTCAGCAAAATCACACTTATTTTTGTGGTGGGATGCTTGTTTCAGGTTTCTATACTAATAATATTATTTTAAACATTGTATTTAGAAGCCACCCTACTTATAGATGTAAAGAAATGGCCCTTCTCATTTCTAAACAATTTAAACCAGAAATTTCCATTCCTTTAAAACCTAACCCTTTTAAGAAACAGTCATTTTTTCCCCCCAAAGACAGTGTTTTATCTAATCCTTTGAACCCACGGAGGTTGAGAAGGGTTACAGGCCACACACTGCTGGATTCCCATGGATTTTACAAACAAAAGCAAAAATAAATAAATGGCAATATGTCAAACTAAAAAGCTTTTGTACAGTAAAGAAAATGATCAACAAAATGAAAAGGCAGCCTACTGAATGGGAAAAGATATTTTCAAATCATGTAGCCAATAAGGGACTAATATCCAAAATATACAAAGAACTCACACAACTCAATAACAAAAAGAAATCTGATTAAGAAATGGGCAGAGGACCTGAAGAGACATTTTTCCAAGAAAGACATACAGATGGCCAACAGACACAGGAAAAGATGCTCAACATCACTAATCATCAGGGAAACGCAAATCAAAACCGCAGTGAGGTACCATCTCACACCTGCCAGAATGTCTTTTTGATAATAGCCAACAAATCAATGTTGGTGAGGATGTAGAGAAAAGAGGACCCTCATGCACTGTTGATGGGAATGTAAATTGGTTCAGCCACTATGGAAAACAGTATGGAGTTTTCTCAAAAGATTAAAATTAGAACTACCTTATGACCCAGTGATTCCACCTCTGGGTATTTATCCAGAGAAAATGAAAATAGTAATTTGAAAAGATATATGCACCCCTATGTTCACTGCAGCATTATTTACAATAGCCAAGATATGAAAGCAATCTAAGTGTCCAACAATAGAAGAAGGGATAAAAAGGATGGTATAAACATACACACACACACACACACACACACACACACACACACACACACACTGAATATTACCCAGTCATAAGAAAAGAATGAAATCTTGTCATTTGCAGCAACATGGATTGACCTAGAGGGCATTACACTAAGTGAAATAAGTCAGACAGAAAAGGACAAATACTGTATGATTTCACTTACATATGGAATCTAAACAACAAAACAAATGAACAAGCAAAACAAAACAGAAACAGACACATGGATACAGAGAACAGCAATGATGATCGCCAGAAGACAGGTGGGTGGGAGATCGTGCAATATTGGTGAAGGGGATTCAAGAGGTATAAACTTCCAGTCATAAGTCACAGGTGAGTTATGTACAACATAGGGAATATATTCAACAATATTGTGGCAATTTTGTACGGTGACAGATTGTTAGTAGACATATCATGGTGATCAATGTGTTATACATACAAATGTGGAACCACTATGTTGTACACCTGAAACTAAAACAACATAAAATGTCAACTATACTTCAAATAAAAAAGCAATCACCTACTACATACCAAGGATGTTGATAATTAAGAGGGTTATATAAAAGTAAATAAGACATCCCTGCCCCAAAGAACTTTAAAATCTGTTTCTAACAAAAACTAAAGTGTGAGAGGGCAGACACTAACGTGCCTACTTCTGTGTTAGTGTGCTTGTCAAATGGGCAGGTCCAAACTGACCAAGGGAACAAGGGAAGTAAAAGCCAAGAACCTCTCCTCCAGGTTTGTCTTCCTGCCACCTGGTCAGGCATAGTCTGGATGGGGCACCTGTAAGAGGAGTCATCCTATATCTTTTCCTGCTCCCAACCATGCTCCTCTACCCTTCAACTTCACCTCCTGCATGTCCCAAGCCCAGCCTCAGTAAAGTGATTTGTGGGTTTTCTGCTTATATGCAGGAACAAACAAATTGATTAAGATCTGAGATATTTCATAAGAAAGATATTTCTCAGAAGAAAGATATTTCATACTAAAACAAATGTTACTTTGGTTATATTCTGATCCGTGAGCAGAGGCTAGGATAGTATACACAATGACAAGAGCAAAGCTGTCTACTAATCAGGTTCAGAGGCTCAAAACCCCAGCTGAGTTAGGGAGAAAAACAGGTGCCCTTAAGTAGAAACGGTGAAATATGATATTTTGTCCTTGTTGGGATTTTAGTGAGTTCAGCTGGCTCATAAAGAACTTGAGAGAATCTAGTTTTAATCCAATGGCATGTCCACTGCTTCAGGCCCTTCCAAGTTTTCCAATTTGTACAAATCCATGACCCAGAAGAACCAATTTTCCATCCTCGTTCCAGTTTTTGCCCCTCTGCTCTAGTATGCCCAGAGTATTACCCTTGGGCCTCAAAGACGTATGCATCCTCTAAATCTTCCTTCCAAGACGTGGCGAGTCAAAACAGTCACTTTTTTCAATCTTCTCACACTTGAGGTTTATCTATGACCATTCTATTCTGAAATGGATTTAAAATGTTATTTCCTCCGATTGCTGGCTTAAATTTTAAATTAAATGGCTTTATAACTAATCACTCCATTGTTAATAAAAATATCTTGCATCTTTGAGAGCGTGTTCTTCCCAAGAGCTCTAATTACTACATGATTAATGCATCTGATATCTCCATAGTTCAGAAGAGCACATATTTTCAGCTCTTAGAACAAACAGGAAAAGTGTTATAAATACACCCTGCTATATCACCCTAAAGTTCCTATTATCTTAAACCTGCACATGTCTGTGAAAGTGACTTAAAGTCCTTCTGAATAACTGGGAGTTTTAAAGACTTTCACCCCTGATTAAAAGAACTATTTGTTATTATTACATTCATTTCATAATTGGGGGAAAGGAAGTCCTGGAAGAGATTATATTTCTTTTAAAAAATGTGCATCTGATTATTAATGTTCTGACCCCTTAAGAAACAGGGAACGTAGATCACTATTTCTTCAGACCTATCAGTCCCATTTTTAAAATAATTTCTGCCTACCTTAGTCACTATTTCAACACAGAATTAAGTAAGTCACGTAGGAAGGCAGGCATCGGTTCAAAGTCCACACATATCCCCAAAGTAGAATCTCCTCTGGAAAAGGAAATCCTATTTCCTTACCTGTAATACAGAGATATCACCTAGTTTACTGCTTAGAGTTGTAAGAATTTCTAGTAGAAAACAGACATTCAAATTATATTGTCTATCTTGTCCACTTTCCAAATCACACTCAAATTATACTGTCTATCTTGTCCACTTTCCAAATAACATTCACTGAGTGCCTGATTTGTACCAACACTAAACTAGGCATGTTTAACCTATATTTCCTCATTTAAAACTAGGA